AATTTGAATCTCAAAAATTTTTGATTATTTTATTTCGTTCAGAATTGTATCAGTTCGAAATTGTAGGTACTTCATACTATATTAAATATTGATTTACGGACACGCTATTCGCAAGAAATAGAACTATTGAAGAATGAACTAGCGAGAATGAATAACATTAAAAGGAAAAAGTTGAAATATTCACAAGTAAATGTTATATGTAAAATTTTCTTCGATATTTGGTTATAAAAAATTTGATTGATGATGAAATGTATTTATGAGAAATATATATTTCTGTGAAATATATCTTATTAATTTGCAAAGAAAGATAAAATAGATGATTTATTTGTCAGCAATGAAATTCGCCGTATTTAAATGACGAATCTTGCGTGGCTATATGGTGATATTTTTCATAATAAATTATTTATAATTTTTAAGATGCTTATATATGCATCAAATCATTAATAGCTTTCTAAAATGCTTACTTAGAATAATAATATTAAATTGCTTGTCAATTTAATTTGTGATATTATATTAATTCAGCTTTGGTTTAACGGTGTGTTTTAAGATCTATAAATAATCGACGCACGGTTAGCTTGAACTAGAAATTGTATACATTCATAAATATATTATTAGATATACGAATAACCGCCTTGACTAAATATGGCGTTTTTCATTCATATATCGTTTAAATAAGGATTTATTTCAACAAAATAAATATTATGTATCTCGTAAATGAATTTTTAAGCATCTTTTTCTCAGCATTGCATTGTGCAATTTTATATTGCAAAGTGATGTAATTACATTTTGTATTACTATTTAACCCCATATGAAAAAAGAAAATGAAAGAATTAGCATAATCATATGAAAATTTAAAAAAAAACATAAATATTATATTATTTATTTATAAAAATATTAATTACGAATTTAAAAGGTTTTTAATTTATCAAAAGCAACTTTCAACGAAATATATGATCGCTAACAAACGGTTAAAGAATTGATATCGATCTCTGAGGTCATAAATCACTGCATTAAGGACCGCTGAGTGTCTGGAAACTGTTTGCGCCAGTCGGGTCTACAAGAGGTTTCTAAGTCTTGGCCCACAGTCACCGGTTTGTCTACAAAGGGAGAGGAGAAGAAGAAACCGCCGTGTTGGATGGAAGAAAGCGCCTGAAGCGCGTTGGATGCGTTCAAGAACCTTCCGGCCGGCGTATATGGTCGGTCTGCCCACGTCGATTCTCTCGCTACCGGCATCATCGCCAAATATCGAGTAGATACGCGTTGGAAAATGTGCCGGCCGTCGCCGATCTGTCTCTAGCTGCCTATATATAGCGATACCGAATAACGATACTCGCAGCGTGCCGAGCGTTGCTAATTAACATATTTTTCGTTCTGACTCACCGCGCGGTGAAGGGCCTCTTTTCTTTGCGATGTCAAGATGGATCGCACAAAAATACGAGAGGAACGAGCGATTAATTCTTTCGAGTCTGCAGAGAGATTTTGATATCTGACTTTTCTTATGCGTGTCTAAAATAAACATACTGATTCATGAAAAATCACGATTGCTAAAGATTTAATAAAGAATTATTCATATCAATTTTTAACTGATTCATAGTAATAAATTAATGTGACTCCAGTTTGAAAAATTTGAAAGTATTAAATTTAAAACTGTATTGCGTCAATATGTTTCTAATAAATTATCCCTCTAAGCATTAAAAGGACCTTTCATCCATCTACAGTTTATGCGCAAAAGTAGCTCTTGAAATGATTAAATGATGCTTTCGATTGCGGCTGCGTTGCTCAAGAAGACAGATTACTTAGAATTAACATACCGCGAGCATTGTAAAGAATTATTCCAATCATTTGCCGCTTGAAATCAACAGCACTGCTGTAACGCAGAATTGTAACGAGAATGCAGTTTGGCAAATCTGGTTTGATTCGACGGTTGCACACTTTCGCTCAATTGCTTCTAACGGATCATAATCGCTGTTAAAACGTCGAAATCGACGTGTATTTAGATTTTCGTATCGACCGAACGATTGTATTAATTTCTAATAAGACGGATGTAAGTACAAATTTGGAAAATAAATTTTACTCCGTTTCAAGTAAAATATGTACATAGAATTTAAAATACTTATGTTAAAAATGTAAGACATATATTTTATAATATAATAAATACAATTATATAATATAATATGTATAACTTTATAATTAAATGTATTTTTTCCAAAAATTAAATTAATTTTCCATTTATAATTGTTTAAATGAGTTAATTTGTGTTTTTTCATTATTCCCTGATTAATATAACATTCTTAATATCGGCATTAAAAATATTCTAAATTATTATGTATTGTTTCCGCATTCGGCCAATATAATTAACGTCTAAATTTATTCTGATCTTGGAAGATTGATTAGAACGTAACGGATCAACACTCATACCTACCCTCTTAACGAACCGATCACTCGATTATCCCGCGGACAAAGGCCGCATTTTTAAACGCAACGGCCCGTTTAAGGAGAGATGTTATCCGTAACGACGTGTCCTACGCGCGATACTGGCCATTCAGCTCGTGGGCGGTTCACTGACATTTGCATGACGCGTTGGCCAATAGACAAGGTGATTACGAAAGTTCGCGCGTTGAAAACTTGTGCCACGGCAGACCCGACGACAAATTGATAAGTAATTCCCGCTGGAAAAATTTGGTTTGCTTCAAGATGCAAAATGCGAAATTGCAATTACATAATCGAATCGATTACCTCAAGATTTACGCGAGTCATTTCTCTTATCTCAGTTACAAAGATTAGAGTGAAAATTATCTAGCGCTATTTATAAAAATATTTAATTATATGTATTCTTTTATATAAGGAGCAAAAATAAAGATCTTCCTCAAATAAATAAATAAAATGTAGATTATAAATGTAAGTAATAAAATCTTACTCTTTTTTTATTTACGTTATGTATGTGTAAATTATACGATAGTCCTTTACGAATTTTGTCTTATCAAATTTTTCGACTTATTCTTTCCTTAATTAATTGTTTTAGCAGAAAATAATATCTACACGTTGATAATGATGTGATGCGTTAAAATTGATTTTATGAAAATTTTCACGAATAAGATCACAACGAGTCATTGCGTCATTATCATTTAAAGGATTAGCAATGGTAGCGGTCGAGCTACCGGTATTTAGCTTTCACTTAATCGGATTGAACCGCGGTGAAGCGTAATTTGTGCACCCTGTGGACGTAAATAGGCGTGGATGATAAATGGAGATTATAAATTGCTCGTTCTGGATGGGTCTGAAACGCTTACGAAGTTTGTTAAGAAATCAGTATGCCATTTGAACATCGATAAGGTTGGACATTGATATTGTCTAATTAAAAAACAATAGTTGCTTGCAAATCACGTAAAATATATGTTTTCAATTAAAAAAACTAAAATAAAAGTAATGTTAACGAATGTATACGAACAAATAAAAAAAGTAGATTGATAATATTTGCAAGAACAGATGATTAAAATATGGAAAAATAATATAATATAAATTGAATAACAATGAAATTATGAATAAAATTATTGCAATATATTGTATTGTATTTTATATATCAGGAGAGGGAAAATTATTTTATGCGGTTTAGTGAAATGTAACGCGTTACGAGGATTGGAGAATAAAATTGATGAGACCGATTATTCAGGAGAGATCTTTAATAAAATCCTGCTACACAATTCGCTGTTGCGTTTATATTCACGCAAGTTATGAAACTTATCATCTCCAATATAGCCACTTAATTTTAAGGTATCGCGCTCTCTCGACCGTAAAACGGCCATCGCGAAATTCCAGGCAAATTGCAATTTTAGTGCACGAGGCCGTGTAATATTGCGCAAGATTTCCATGGTGATTCAGTCACTCGTACTCAACGTGCGAGAGATAACAATGCCGCTTCTCGCTCGCCAACGATCGCGAAAAATTGTCGATAAGCGAATACACAAAGTGCGCACAAACCACGATACTGCAAACCGAACCAGTCCAATATATGTCTCATCATTTAAATGATATTATATAAATCCGTACATTCGAACATTTCGAATTCAGTTCACGAGAAAATCATCATTATTATTGTAAGTGCACCAGTAAATAATCATCGAATTTATGCTTTTTCTATGATAATCAAAAAGTGAGGATTTAGCTTCTTATAATTTTTAACTATAGCTATAAATATAGGATTAACCCTTCTTCCTCTTATTGAAGTTAATAACGCTTGCACGCTAATTCTATAATATCCAGGTATTAAATGGTAATTCTGCCAATAGTCTGTAATTATGCTTATTAGCTATTAAATAATACACATAATATTAAGTCATTTCAATGATTTATTTAGTGGATATATCGTTTAACTGCATATTTCTGGTATCATTTAAATGAATATTAAATGCGCGCCAACAGTATATTTTATTTAAAAAAAATCAATAGCTATATAATCTCTCCAAGATTTAACTATCAAAACTTTGTCAATAATTTATGGCCACAATTTTACTTTCAATTATAAATTAAAGAATATCTTCCGTTATTAATTTCTGATTATAACCTATCGCTTGCACGAAACCAGTAAGGAAATTCAAAATTTATTCAATGGCTAAGCCATATGTCGGCTATAAATATAATACTGTTTAGCGAAAGGACTGAATTATCGGACAATATTTCTTAAACGACCATCCACCAGTGCCTTGCTACACGAGATGAGAGTAGAACAAGAATTACGAGTCTCGCATTACGACCACACGCGACATTACAATTTCACCTTCGCACGACTTCAATGTTGGAACAAATTTGCTTCGAGTCGAATTCCAGGGACGATGGAAAATTGACACAATCGCCGTAACTATAGGCTGAACGTTCCTGCAAATGGTGACGGGGGTCGAAAGAACGGGAAAGCCGGGCTTTCTCTTCCACGGGAACTTATATCCTCGATAAACGCCTCAAATCAACGTGACGCTTATCGTTCCCAACCAAGACTGCCACCTTTTTCATCTCCTCCAGCGATTTATGAAAAACGCCTCGCGCCTCTGAACCATAAAGGAACGATCGAAAGCAATTGACTCATGAAAGTGCCATACCCCTTCGCGGTAATTCCAGATCGTTCTCGAGGGCGTCGCGCCGCTGGCGTCGCCGCCGCCTCTCCCCGGCAGGATTCCGCCGTCCCTTCGAGTCCTCCTCCAACGATCCTCTTCCTCGTCCTCGTCGCTGTCCTCATCGTCGTCTTCGTATTTCCTGGGCCTCACCGCGCATATCTCTTGCGCCGGACGACGCCGCCGGCGTCTCTCTGCCGCGCTGCCGGAATCCTCCGATGATCGTATCCTGATGATCGTGGTACCGTTGCGGTCACGAGCCGAGGAAAATCGCGGCGACTCGCTGTCGCCCGAGTCAATTCCGCCACGTGTCTCGAAGCGATTCTCCTCAGGATCGTTAGTAGTTGTCTCAACTGTGCTGCCCCGCGTGTCTTGCAGCACCAAAAATTCTCGCTCCGGCGAGACGTCGACGTCAAGTTGTCCTTCTGGAGCATTTCGCACCTTACTGTGATCCCGCAGATACTTAGCGGAAAATATCCGGTTGCTCTCGTACCAAGACTTGGCGCAGAAATTTTTCGAGTTTTTGGTATTACTCTCCGCCTCATCTTTCTTCGATGGCGACAACGCTCTCGAATAGTTGTCCGATTTCCTATCGAATGTCTCGTGATCTCTGCTTCGCAACGACGGGCGTCTTTTCGGGGAAGCGTCACGCTCCTTGAATGAACTTGTTCTGACTATTACTTTGTTGTTCTCCTCCTGAAGAGGACTTGAAACACGTAATTCGTCATCTTGTGTCTTAAAGGATACCTTACCGAACTCTATATATCGATCATTCGCAGTTTTTCTATCGATATTGTTCTCGTAATCGTGATACAACGTTCGCCTGAATTCCTTGTCATCGTCCTTGAAACTGTTCTTCCTCCTTTCTGAATTTCTCTCATGATCCTTGTAGGAAATCTCACCGAACTCGACGTTCTTTTCCTTAAACGAATTCTTCTTTCCGGAATCTTCGTTTACATTCTTAAACGAGTTGCTTCTACTCGATTCGTCATCATTTCTCAAGACAATTCTGCTGACGCCACCAGCATGTTCCATGGATGAGACTCTCTTCTTCGCATCGTCATTCTGATCTTTCAGGAAAGTTCTATCGAATTCACCATCTCGTACACTAAAGAAATCTTTTCTATTTATATCTGTGCTTACATCTTTGAAGGAATTCTTACATGACGAGTCTTCCTGATCCTTGCCGAAGTACTTGATCGAGCTCTCGTGTGGATTTTTCGAAACGTGCTTCTTATATGTATCGTTATCCACATCTTTAAATGATGTTTTTCTGGCCAAATTAGACTCACCGCGATCCTTGCTAGGTGTCCTCTTAGATTCAGCTTTGAAGGAATTCTTCTTGGTTATCGGTTCTCGAGTGTACTCCTTTAGAGATTCTTTCCTGGTCAGATGTGGTTCCCTGGACGAACTTCGTCTGGGCGAACTTCTGTCCAGATCTCTCCTAGGTTCAAGAAGAGCCCGGTCGTACCTCTGTATCCTCACGTCAAAATCCTCCGGCGAACCCTCATAAATGTAGCTTCTCCTCTTTGAAGAATTGTCCCTCGATCGAGGATGATTTTCTTCGTCCTCTATCGATTTCCTTCGGTAATTTCTCTCGGCACTGTAAGTGTTGCTCGTTTTTCGAAAACTGTCGTCTCGTCGAGGCTCGCAGGTCTCGTTCCGCCTCTCAGAGCTTCTCGATTTTCGATCAGTAGATCGCTCACGTCGAACTGCGTCCTCTTCTCGATCGCATTTTCCAATCAGCTTGGACTCGCTCGATCTGCGCGGCTCGTCATCACGATCATCCTTCAGTTTCCTATCTCGTGCGTTAGATAAATTATCATGCGGATAATCAATGATCGGCGATCTTATATCATTCCTGCCGTCGCTTTTCGTCTTGTCGTGCGCTTCCTTTTCAGGACTCGCTGATCTCTGCTCTCTCTTGGATCGTAGCTTGCTCTCCTCTCGTGACTTCAATCGCTCGATCATCGCCTGGATTCTACGGTCCGGCGACTGACTGCCATCGGTAGCTAAATTTTCAATCTCCTTAAGCAATATATCTCTCTCGTCGACGGGTTGCATCAAATCGTTATTACTGTCGTTGCTTCTGCTAATCTTGGACGTCCTCCCTCGATTTCTCGACTCCACTTCCTCTTCCCAGGATTCTTTCATTCTTGATTTATAAGAACCGTTGAGATTTCTCTCGATAAACTCGCCTTTTTGTCGACCCTCCCTCGGTAAAGATCCTACGTATCCTTCGTCTCGATACTCCGGACGATCGTGCGATTTATCCGGCTTAGCACCCACAGGCTCGCTCCTGAATTTTCCATTTGTCAGTTGTGTACCATCGAGATCTTGTTTTCTCGATTTTCTCGTGTCGTCCTGAACGTCCTTGATATCCCAGGAACCGAAGTGTTCTCTGCTCTTCTTGTATAATAGATCGGCATTGTTCTCTTCCGCCTGTACAAAGTTCTTATTATATTCCTGTCCGTTCCGCTCTACCTTGTTGTCGTGTTGCTTTGACATGCCGAAATGATAACGGTTGCCGCGCCCGTCGTTCTTGCACGACCGGCTGGAGTGGACTTCCGCCTCGCTTCGATGAAAATGATCCTTGGCAAACGGGGCGGCCCTCGGCGTGTCCTTCACTGCCGAAGGGCCGCGTAGGCGGGACGTCATCTTCGCGAGGAACGAAATCTTGAAGTCAAGAATTATTATGTCTCACCCAAGTAATATCGTTTATATGTATGCACATACAATGTATTCGTGGGTATAATTTCCGATATAAATAGATATGTAGCAATTAATATCACAAAAAATTCTCCAGTAAAAAGATTGTGCAAAGTAATTCTTTTTTTAAGAAAAAATTCGCAGCTTCTTTCACCGACGAACGTTGTCGTTAATTTCTCATGATATCTCCAGGCAAGAGGAACGTAGGCGCTCTGAAACACGCACGGTTAAGTGTACGAGCGCTAACCTATTATTATTCGCGTATATCGAACCAGCCCAACGGCTACCGTCGATTCCGATCGATTCCCGATCCTTCGTCATCCACTGTGCGTATGTATTTGTACTTGACGTTAGTGCACGAGCACTGAAACTATCTAGGTACACCAAGATTTCTGAAAGTAACATCAGAAGCACCGTTCAGTGAAGATAAAATATCGTGCCACCTTAAAATGTATCTGTTTTTTTTTCACCAACTTTCTCACATCCACGAAATCTCTTCAACAAAAAGAGATTAACTGATGCTACAATACGAAATGTGTGACGCTTTGATCTCAAATTTAAGCTCTGAAATGATACAAAGATATGTCACTAATAAAACTCTTGACAAAACGATCAAATTAACTGAACCGATTAACCGCACAGATTCTTCACAGAAGAAGCTTGAACCATTTCTTCATCTTAAACAGAAGCGGTTCATACAGATCTCCACAGTCTACGTAAAAATTAAACTGGAATTTTCTCAGATACTAAGGTGAGCGTCACACTAGAATAAACAAACACAACAACGTGAACGATGATCGCGACTAATGCATCTAAATCTCCATTGCCGTTGCGATGAGTAGCTCACCGAATCCTTTGTACTCCTCGAACAAGGACACACCTTCCGAATCTCACGGTCACCCAGCCATAAACGTCTTACGTTCGGATACTCTTTGTCTCTCTCTCTCTCTCTCTCTCTCTCTCTCTTTCTCTCTCTCTCTCTCTCTCTCTCTCTCTCTATGAAGCGAAGGACAATCTTTGGCAGATCCTTGCGAATTCTCGCGCTTCGCTGAGACTCGCAGGAGCGCGAGAGAGTGCCGGTATTCTCTCCTCTCGAGGTGGCTTCTTCTCGGCGAGAAGCCGCTAGCCGGCTTCGGGATAGAACGACGACGACGACGACGACGACGAACGCGCGCAGCAGACGACCCTGAAAGTCGTCTGTGGACTTTCACGAACGCGAGCACTTTGCCGGTCGGAGTCACCACGAGAGTGTGCACCGGAGGGAGAGCGTGTTCCTCCCGCTCTCTCGCCCCTGCCCCCTATCCTGTCGAGGCCCCCTCGCTTCCAGCCGTCCGCGAGCCGTCCCCTTCCTCGCTAAGCCCTCTCTACCCCGTCTATACAGCACGCCACGTCGTCCCCCCTTTTCGTCCTTCCTCCTTCACAACGCCGCCGACTCCTTCGCCTTCTATTTACGGTCCTGTGATCCTCCCTGAGGTGAGGTGGAGCACGATTCTCCCGTTAATCCGCCGATGCTTTGGGCAAACACATAAGCTCCACTAAGGTTCATCAGCCTCTTTGATCGATCGATGAATTCTTTGAAACAATAGAAAGCTTCAAGAGCTGAAATTTCTGAGAGTGTTTGTTAATTCGAGAGAAAACTTAAGTCTTTAAAAGCCCCGGCGCAATGGCTTTGAAGTAATGTGAGACATTAACAGCATGATGCGATAAAGTACAGCAAAGAGGATACATTAATTAGCTATAAACTGACTTGTAAGACTAATGATAGAAACATGTTCATCAACGTCGTTGCAACAGCCAACACAAGAAATCAATGACGATATATTTTTTCGAACGACAGAACGAGAGCGGAAGCATCGTCTTTCACTTTCGAGGCGTAGCCAGGCGTACGCGCGGAAATTAATGGCATACTTCGAACGTGAAAGGAGCTAAACGCGCGAAAATATAGAAAAAAAGATGTATAATGTCCTCGTTATCGACGAGAGGTTTCGCAAATGAATCATTCGCATTACGTTTCATTAAAACTTTCCTCTTGAATTCTTATTTATAGTATAAATATCGAGTTAAGGAATTAACCAATTCCTCGAGATATAAGGAGGACTTACGCCAAAGATCAGCAAATTTCTTAAAACGAAGTCGAGAAATTAATAATTAAATCTGACGTAGCTACGACTATTAATGAATCCAAAAGCTTTGAACATTCGAGCGTGCCGCATAACAATTCTTCTCATGTGCGCTGCGCGTAGAAGCGCAGCTCGCACATTAAACTCAGGATATCCAGGCGGAGGTGGACGTCACGGATACTCTCGCAGGAACTTCGAGAATGTCGTCGGTGCTAAAGGCGCCGCTGTCTTGCATTGACCGTGGTCCCGCAGCTTAATGAGACCTTAGCGATCCCTTAATGGAGCTGGTTGGATAAAAAAGGATAATATTCCGTAGAGAGAACGTTACTTAGTGCATGTTTACGTTTGCGCCGAGGAAAGTCAGGCGACAAAATCGCTGACAGAGAGAAAACCGAAAAGGAGAATGAGGCTAATAAAAAAAAAAAAAGAAGCATCTTCACATCATACTATATGATTTAACTCTAAAAATCGTTTTCACTTATCTTGCGAAAAATTACGATTTTAATGAAATCGGCACTGGCGCGAATTGCGATATGCCAGAAATGGAAAGTTGGAGCTATTACTGATCATCAGCAGAAACATTTTAAAAAATCTCGAATTTTCTTGATGATACTAAAATAAAATTATAATACATAATATAAATTAATATAAATTATATGCATAGCATATATATACACATAAAAAAGCAGATAAAATTATAAATAGATAAATTATACATAAAACTTCAGATTTTTAACTACCAGTAAGAATACCGATTACAGTTACGTCATAAAACTTTCAACAATAATAGTCTTAACGAAAATATCTTTTAATCGTATATAATTGCAACATTTAAGACTTTAAATAGCTTGATGGTTTAAAGACACGCAAGTTGGTTAGAATGTTTAGAATATTTTAAAAAATTATATATCTTTACCAATATGTTTGTACATTCCTATATGTCATAATGTAAATTTAATTATAACTTGGTATACTAATATAATAGAAAATATAACTATAAAATTAAATTAATAAAATTAAAATTAAAATATAACTATAATATATAAAATTAAAATTGTTTGCCTACGCGGCAATTTCTTTATTTTCCTGTGTGTTCCAGAATAAGATTTCAAAGAAAATTATATCTAAGTGACCATTCCAGCTACTCACTTAAGATTAAAACGACAATGCAAAAATCCAATCTCTATAACGACTATGGGGCAATTTTTCTTTATAAATCGAATTCGAGACAATAGCGGTAGCATCTACCTACGAAAGGGTTAATGAACGACCCATTGGTGAAATGGCAAGGAACTGGCCCGTGAATCATTGCTAAATAAATGCTAACCTTCCAAGGCACGAAACGCGTGGCATAAAGGAAAAAAAAGATATTTTCTTCGGTGAAATATACGATCGAGTCATCCGTGCGCGCCTAATCGCTTCTCGACCTCGCGGGTGCGGCGCGAAATTTTACTGCGAATCACTACGTGATGGCTCGAGAAATGTTTTGTATAAAGTTTTTTTTCATATATTCTGATACACGCAAAAACCATTTTTTAAATAAAAATAAAAAATAAATGATGAACATGAATTATTAAACAATGGTTTTGATCGATAATAACATAACACACACACAATGGAAAAAACTGATAATATTATTAATTATAATACGAATCTGGACCGATGAGAATAAAATTAATTTAATTAATTAATTAAAAAATTATTTTCGGTCAAAGTGAATCGTAGTACTTAAATATTTCGGTGTGAATTTAGTTTATAATATTAGTGTTATATTATATTTTAAATCCTCTCTTAAAAATATAATTGCATTATTTCCTACGATCGCAAAAACAATCAAGTCAGTGGTCATTCACTGCTAATCGTTCACTGGTGCACCCATCCATTATGTTTCCACGTAAACGGCACGTTGTAATCTTTCCATCCTATCGAAGACAATGAAAGACCACAACGGCATTGAACGAGCGAAATATCACCGCTCTCCATTGCAGCGTGGATAATCGCTAAATTAGCAGAATCGTTGCTCGCGCGCGCATCGATGATTAGCTATCGCGGAATAATTTATATCACACGGCGAGCAGCGCGTTTATGGCAATTAAAAGCCTATCGGCCGATGCGGCCCGATGGCTCTCGATCGAGCGTGTTTCTTCGCCTCGTATCCGATTCGCGAAACGTGAACGCGCGTTATTAATCACGTGTGTCCCATAAGCGGGCTTTCACTCTTGCGTCACGCCATAAAGCCAGACACAATCGGCCCATGCTTCATATATCACGTCTGCCTTTTCGAACATCGAACGCGCAACAACGACAAGATGATATCTTGATCGCAATTGTATGACTCGCGCTCGCGACGTGTCCTCGTCGAGTATAATTCGTTAAATCGTCGCACGAATGCACGGCAATATCGATTTCGAGTGATCGTCGACAAGAATTATCCGACAATAAAACTCTGGCGCATCATGCCGTAATAATTATCGCGGCTCTCGAGACGATTAATTTCCCGGCACCGTAATTAATTTATCGCGTGCTTCCAACATCGCGTGGTGTTTCGCGAGAAATCGCGCAACCGATCGAGGTGAGCGCTAATAGCCGCGATCGCTTAGCTTATCTCACATTCATCCTTTCTTATTCTTCTCGTAGAATTTTTTATAACAATTATGAAGCTTTTTTTAGATGAATTCTCAGCTGTAGAAAAAAATAATAAAAAATTAAGAGAAAAGGTAGTTGTAATTATTATAATTTAACCATAATTTATAGTTATTTTCGATGCCAAGTATACAGATTTTTTTATAGCAAAACTATAAACATAATTATTATTAATATAAATTATAA